CCACTTATCTTTGTCACTAATTCAGGAACATGTAATGAAAGTACTAGAATTGATATCCCACCACCCAGAAATAATTATGCTATTATTATGATATATTTTTCTTCTTCCATGACCACACAGTTCCCCCCATAAAGTTGACATCATGCACTATTTACAGATAAAGTTTTGTACTTTAGGTTTTTTTTCACCCAAATTATATAGCAAATATTTCCTACATACTATTTTATTAGACTTCAAAATGTTGACTTTAAAAAAAATGAGTTTTGAGTAAGTGCCCGGCAGGAGTTTAGAATTTTCTTTTTAGTTCTTCTCATGACCCCTGGAAAGACTTTTAAGCTAACAACTATGACTGCAGCAATATCGTCTTCTCACTGTTCCTTACTGAACACCTGTGGCAACAGGTTGGTAATAGCAGTGTCTCTGAGCCCTCTCCCTGAGGACTGCCACACAACTCTCCCTTCGAAGACCTGCTGGTCCCGCCTCACTCGCTTCTTACTTGGCTGATCAGAGAAACCAGCTGGCATACAGGTAAGTTCTTTGCATAAAGAGAATGCCTATTTGGGAGGAATTGCTGGCCAGTCAAGCATCTCACAGTGTAACTGAAGTGTTGAGGTGTCTACTCCAACTGTGTCTTAACGATTATGCTGCCACAGCGATGGCTCATAGACTTCTCTGTGGTTTTTCTGCTAAACCAGGCAGACTTCAAGAAGATATAACCAACCACTAGAGGCAAGGCCTTGTTACTTGGCTGGAATTTTCTGGTTTAGAATAATTTACTGTCATTAGTACTAGTGCAGTCATCTCTTTTGTTTGTTTTGAGTTTTTGGAGAGGTTGTTTTATTTCCCCCCTTTAGTCAGTGAAACTTTGTAAAAAAAAAAAACCCAGATTCATTTACTTCTATTAACAAATATTTATTGGATCTAAGCTATATGGACTACTCTGATGGCTATTTTAAATAAGAGGAGTGCCTCGTCCTGTTCTTGTGGAACGATCAGCCTAGTAGACTGTATTTAATGTGAATATAAATAGCTATAAGGCAAAGTAGATAAATTGAAGGTAATTTTAATATTCTTGTCTATTAAAAATTATTTTACATTAAACCCATGTTACTGTTAGGATCATTGAAAACAAGCTTTATAAATGTGTAAGGAATTACACAGCAGTGCAGAGGGCAGAGGAACAGCAGAGGGGTGAAAATTCTGGTTACCTGGAATTGTAGGTGATCGGGAAGGCCTCGGAGTCTATCTTTCTTAGTGATGAAAGCTTTCATATCAGAAAGAGTTGATAAAATCTTCTTGAGTTATAAAAAACACATTGTATTTTTAGAACTTTTCCTCTGTAACATTTAGCCATAGCTCTGGAGGCTTTATCTGTCAAATCACCCATTAAATGATGTCAGTAATGATACAGGCAATGGTGTGTGTGTGTGTGTGTGTGTGTGTGTGTGTGTGTGTGTGTTGGGGGGTATGGCACCGTGATGCTGGGATGTATTAGTGGAACTTAAAGTGTAGAGGAATAATTAGAACTGAAGCCGAGTGGGAGGCTGGACACGGTTTGAGTGTTGTGTCTTTATCTACACACAGATGGACTTCTGTGGTAGAACTCCCTGGTGGAATGGGGTGACTTAGTTGACAGTCATACATGGAGTACAGGTTAGAGAGACCTATCTGCTGGGGTGCCTTCGCTTGGTCTGGAACGTTCAGGTGATATGATGAAGACTCCACACCCCACAGGTCGCTGTGGCTGTGGGGCCCGGGTTTTCTGTTAGCTGAAGCAAATGTCTACCTTTTTTCCTCACAGAATGGCTTTCTTTTTGGTGTGGGTTAACCTACTTCTACTTCTTCATGACACAGGTGAGTGATTTTTCAAAAACTTTGAATTTCTGAAACCATCTTGGAGATTGTGAGGACAGTGATTCAAAAAATAATAAAAACTAAAAATGACCAACCAAGCATGTGATTTAATCTCTTCAAATCTCAGTCTTGCTATTTGTTAAATATGAAAAACAAATATTATATTTGCCTTACAAAACATGGTGATATGGGTGGGAGAGTGTAATATACATTTTGTAAAAACATTAGTTCTGTTTTAATTAGAAACCCCTCCCTCCAAATTTGGTTTGCCCATTTGAAGCCATAGCCACATGACTAACTATCCCCATGTTCAGTACAAACTTCACAACAGAAAAAGTACACTCAGAACCCCCACCTTCAAGTGACGTTGAAAAGTACCCAATTTTATAGCAGCAGAATATTTGGTCATACAACACAATTTCTTTTTACTACTGTTTGTATGCCAAGTCTGCAAAAATGCGGGTGATGAGCCAGGTGCAGATTTTGAAACTGTTAATATAATTGATCTAACCTGAAATATATAAGCAAAGTTTATGTTAAAAGTTTATAGAAAGCTATTGTGCATGCTCTAACCTGAAGTATATAAGTGAAGTTTATATATATATATATATATATATATATATATATATATATATATATAAAGTTTATAAAAAGCTACTGTGCAAACTCTGCAAGATAACTGTTCCACACAGTGACCTAACACATCATAGTCCTTCAGGTACATGCCATCTCACTGGAGACCTCCCCCAGGGGTGCTCATCTCTGATGGACAGCATCCTTAGACCTCAGAGAGTTGGGACTTAATACAAGCCTTGGTTCACTGAGCAATATTTCTTGGCTCTTTTCACTTGATGACTGAGGTGTGTGTGCATGTGTGTGGATGTGTATGTAGATGTGTGTGAATGCGTGTGTGTGTGTGTGTGTGTGTGTGTGTGTAGGTAGGTAGGTAGGTAGGTAGTTAGGTAGGTAGGTAAAGGGGACAAAGGCAAAGTGAGTTGACAGTCACAGTAAAGTGCTACCCAAGCCATTAAAAAGAATAGGTGTGGATGCTGATGAGAAAGAGGAGGTTACAGCTTTTAGCACTAATGATATGTTTTATATATTGAATGGCACTTTGAGGTTCTAGACAGTGAAGCCTTTTCTTCCAAGGCTGTAAAGGGTACAACTGTAGCAAGACCTCCTAGGTTGAGTGCTAAGTGCTAAGATCAATGATCCCCCCAAGGTGTAGAATACATATTCTTAGGAGAGAGATTGGAGTGAGTGCAGCTACACATATCTTTTCTCTTCCTTGTGTCCCTCTGGAAGATGACTGAGCCATGTCATATAAAAACAGTCACTAAAATCCCAAGGTATTTCACAACCACCCGGAGGGAGCAGGTGGTATCCTAATTATATACACTGAAACAAACCTGCCTGATGCCACGTGAGTAGTAAGGAGTTATTTAAAACCAGGGCTTAGATTTGTGATTTTTCAGATCAAGGCTTTAAAAACTACATTAAAAAAATAAGCAAACCCATCCTCCCAAGCATTACATAACCTGCTCCTTCTTATAGCGTCCCTTCTTCCCTGTCTTTCTTTGTATCCACTCATCTGTTTCCTTGGTAATTGATTTGCTAGTCAGCTTTAGAAAGAATGACTACTAAAAGCTGAAAGGGCACATTTCGGAGGGAGAGCTTTGGAACCAGAGTCTGGAGAGTCAGCAGAGTCTACTACCACCCACAAAGTGAACTGTATGTCCCTGACCAACCCACCCCCTCGTATTAGAGAACATCTGCTTCAGTGTAATTTGCAGACTCAAGTTAAATAAAAACCGAAAGGTCTCACAATATGGTTAGTATATCGTAAACACAAAATAAACACAAACTGATGAAGTCAGAGTTCTCCAGAACACACCACACCACACCACACACACCACACACACACACACACACACACACACACACACACACACACACACAGAGGAATGAGGTTCTCAAGAAAGCCAGAGGTAGGATTCTCATCGAGTACAAAGGCCTGAGACCCGAGACGACCATGTCTCACTTCAGGTATGACTGCACAAAAAAGATAGGCCAAGCATTCAGCCAGCCATTCATATTCCTTGTAGGTTGACCAACTGTTTTTGTTCCTTTCTGGACTAAGATAGAATGGGGACCACTCATATGAGAGAGGATGACTGCTGTTTCAAGTCTATCCTTTCTATTGTTAACCTTATCATCTGTGTGCTGGGATGGGCAGACTGTATCTTCTGTCCTCTGGAATGTCCTCTGCTGGATGTCTGGGGGTCACACCTTGCTAATGGCTTGGAAGCTTCCTTGCCTGTTCAATGTGATACCCAGAATTGTTTTAAATGCTTAACTTAGTTTCCTTCTAGTTCATCATAGATTTTATATAAAGCACACCCTTGCTGAGGCTACTTCTCACTGATTTGTCCCTTTTGCTGTCTGTCATCTTTTTGGAGAGAGACAGAGATGACACAGAGAGACAGATCAGACAGGTAGACACACACAGAGGGAGAGAGAGAGAGAGAGAGAGAGAGAGAGAGAGAGAGAGAGAGAGAGGAGACAAGCTATGATCTTCATCTGTTGCTGGTGGCAACTTCAGGGGGAAATAGCTTGAAAATATTGAGTCAGATGCTCTATCAATTCTGTCTCTGTCTCTCTGTCTCTGTCTCTGTCTCTCTCTTTCCCCTACTACAGCCAGGGATTTATACCATATATCATGCTAAGAACCCATGAGTTGTGTGTAGTCCAGGGTCCTCACAACCATCAGGCCCCTAGTGAGAACTTTGCCTTGTCTAGGAGGTATTTGTGTCAGGTAGAATAGGTGAGTTTACTGAAAGATTTTCACTTATTGACCATCTTTCTGACATTTCAATGTGCCTTCCTGGATTGCTGAAACAGAGAGTAAAGAACAACTTCAAGATCGTTTTGACATTAAGGTTCTGGGAGTGACGCCTGTTTACATAAGGGCTGAGCTGGCAGCTGATGGAGGAGATTATGCAAAGGTTATGGTGCACGGTGCATGGGACGGTTTTCTTTTGCAAGTGAGAACCTGGCAAGCATAGCTTGGCTTTGGAGCCAACACCCGCAGCAACACATTTTCCTGACAGGTCCACTCTGACAGATTTACTCTGCTGTGTCATTCTGTGCCTGGCAAGATGCAGGGGCCGAGCACACACATGCTAAGTAAGCCTCAACTTCCTTGCATATATTTGGGCACAATTCCCCAGCCTTCTAGTGATTTTATAAACAGCCAGTCTCCTGCAGTAACTGCTCTGTGTCATCTGTGTCATAGTGTTGTTCCTTACCCATCGCTGTGGTCACTGGCCTTTGCTGACCTTATTTCTTCTTTGACAATCCAGCATCAGCAGAAGAGGTGCGGGCCCACCCGTTCACTGATGTGACCCTTGACTGCGAGTTCTCCTTCATAGACAGCACAGAGAACCTTGAGTTTTACTGGGAAAGAGAAGACATAATAGAAGAATATGACGTGGAAGATCGTGAGTTCTATCGATTTTTCAGGTACTATGATTTCTTTCAAGTTTTCACAAAGGTGGTTTACCAGTTTTATGACAATGAAGAGCAACTTGAAGACCAAAATGCCTTATATGAAGGAAGAGTCTCTGTGGATCAGAGTGAGATTTCTGAGGGCATCCTATCCCTTCAACTGCGAAACGTGGATTTCTTGGATGAAGCCTTGTACACGTGCAAAGCTGTTACCCCCAATGGGAGAGGAGAGAGTACAGTCAAGCTGATAGTGGAAGGTAACGACATTTCTCAGATGAATCAGCTTTCAAGTTTGCTCTAGTTCCTCAAGGATAGGCTCCAGGTCTTCTCGCCCAGTGCTCTCATTTTTCTGACTCTGATTACTTTATTCCTAGTGGAATATCAATTTACTTTAGCTAAAACAGTTTCTCTGAAACTTTTTTCTCAAAGTGTTATGTCTGTACCAATATGTATCACTCACTAACTTAATATGAACAAACTGAAGGGTAACCAAATCTGCACTGGTTGAATCCCAAGTGCTACACATGGTAACTGCTATTCCCCACCCCCATCTCACCTCCCCCATTTGATACAACAATAGTGCCCTAGGAAGGTGCTTAAGCCAGACATGGTTTAGTGTGAATGGCACTGAACTGGGAATCAGGATGCTGGAGCTCTAATGCTAGAGGACACTGGGCCTTCTCCAGGCTCCACTCTTCTCACTATTAAAGCATAGGTTTCAGGGCCGCAGAGATGGCTACTTAGTTAAGAGCACCAGTTTGATTCCTAGCACCTGCATGGCTACAATCATCTATACAATCATCTATAACCCCAGCTACAGGCTAACCAACCACCTTTCTGGCCTCCATGAGCACTGGGCATGTCCATGGTGTGTAGACATATGTGCAGGCAACACATATACATAAAATTTAAAATATTTAAATCTAAAAAGTAGTTTTAGAAACATTGATTGGATTGAATCCACCACATTCCCTCAGAGACCCTTACCCTCCAGTATTGTATGGAATCTGTCCTTTCTGATAGAGAGCCCATGATCCTATGAGTCCTGCCAGGGAAGAGGTGGGAAGGCTGTGAGAATTGCTTCTCAGGTTTTTGTTTGTTTGTTTGTTTGTTTGTTTGTTTGAGACAGGATCTTTCTACGTAGGTTAGCCTGACCTTGAACTCACAGTAGTGCCCCTGTCTCCGCCTTCTGAGTAGTGGAAATTACAGGAATGTGTCCCACTTGTTACTTATCTTCTGTGATTAGCCTATCTAAGTACTAAGTAGGCCTGACCCTGCTGAACTTCCGAGGTCAGATGAGATCTGGTTTGTTCTGGGTGGTGTGGTCACAGACTCTTCTGTGATTCTCAACTTGGGCATCTGAGATCAATGGAGAGTCTGGAATAAACCCACAATAAGAAGGAAAGATCCTCCAAATAAAGACAGCAGCAGTAGATGCCTAGATGGCAAGAGAGTGCACGTATCCTGATTTCTCTCATTATGCTTGAGCCAAATTTTTCAATATGGTGGGCCTCAGACCATGTTGTCTCCTTCAGGGTTAATATAAACACCAAAGGCTTGAGCCTCCTGGGACTAATACAAAACAGGAACTAATTATCTTGTTAACTATTATCTTGTTATTCCCAACCAGATTCTGAAACGCCCCAGGTAAAGTTTGACAAGATCGATGATGAAGATGTGGTTACGTGCACATCCAAAGGCTGGTATCTCACACCCAATGTGACTTGGTTGGACCGGGGAGAGAGGGACCTGAGCAACCATAGTACGGTGGAGGTCTTGGAGGAGCAGATGAATGGCTTGTACAGAGTGTACTCTGTCCTCAGATATCCAGTCAAGTTAAATGAAAAATATGTCTGCCACATCACAGAGACGAACGAAAACAACCGGCCAATCAGATCCATCCGGCGGTACCCGAGTGAGTGCAGATCTGAGGGGGGGGAGAGGAGAGGATGGGCTATCACCACATGGAAGTCACCATCCATTAACTGAACACTATGTGTAGCAGGCACTTTTGAGCACTTTGGGTATTTAAAGAAACCTCGGGAACATGAGATTGTAACCTGGGGTCAGATAGAGTAGTGAGGTGGAGTCTCCTCGAGTTAGAAGAAGGACTATTATGGTCTGGGGAATAACAGCTCTTGGCCAGGCAGAGGTGGCTGTTACTCCTGATGAGGCTTCTGTTCCTCTGCTAAACACCTGAGCTTCCTGATGTGACAGGCTGAGTAGTCATAGCTGCCATTTGTTGGCCACTAACCGCATGCCTGGAACCGTACATACCTTTTGTGTATATATGTGTGTCTGTGTGTGCATGTGTGTTCTGTGGATGCATATGTGTGTGTGCAAGCATGGACACAGAGACTGGTGCTGGTATTCTTCCTCAGCTGCTCTCCACTTCATTTTCTTTTTTATTTTTTTCGAGACAGGGTTTTTCTGTGTTGCCTTGACTATCCTGAACTCAATTTGTAGACTAGGCTGCCCTGGAACTCAAAGATCTGCCTACCTCTGCCTCCCAAGTGCTGGAATTAAAGTTTGTACCACCACAACCCGGTTCTCCACTTTATTTTTTTGAGACAGGATTTCTCACTGAATCTGGAGCTCACTGATTCAGCTACGCTCACTGGGCAGCAAACTCCAGGAATCTGTCTGATTCTGATGCCCCAGGGCTGGGATTACAGATGACCACTGCTGGACCCAGTTTTTGTTTGGATGCTGGAGAACCATACTCAGAGCTCCATGCTCATTCTGCCATCTCCCCAGCCCATATATGTTAAGTCTGTAATTTAACCCAGCAAGATGATTGCCTTTACTGTTCCTTTCTATTTGAAGACATTAGGACTTTAAATAGCTTGACCAAACTCTTTACTAATGAACACAAAGTTTGAATTTCAGGTAACCAATAACGTCATGAATGCCGAATACTATATATCTGAAATGTACTAATATTAGTTACTAAATTTAACTGGATGTCCTATATTTTATCTGATAAATTATAGTAAGGGAAACATTTAGTGAGACAAGAAAACATGTAGTGAGCTCAGGAATGATAGGATTGGAGAATTCACATCTCTGCAAGAAGAAGAAGAAGGAGACATTGTAAGGGTCTCTGCCTAGCAAAGTGTGCATGGTAGTAATTCTCCAGGCCAGCAATACTGTCACCACAGGAACTCAAGGACAGGTCAGTTCTTGAGTCTCATTGTGACCTGTGGAAAGTAAATCCTGGGGGACACTTAGGACTGAGTTTTGATATGGCCTCAAGGTGTTTCTGACCTACACTGAAGCTTCAGAACCACTGGTGAATGACGTAAGCCTTTTTGGGCGGTACAGATGCCCGGAGCATCTCTGTCTTCTCTGTGTGGTGATAGAGTCTCCCCATAGCCACGTCTAATGGGTGAGGGGGCAGAGCTCCCACCTTCTTCTTCCAGTCTGGCAAAGTAGGATGAACCAGATAGACTTCGTACATTCAAATTTCCCACATGAGCTGGCTTTTCCTTCAAAGGGAAAAAGAGAACCTCACTTATCTGCCAGACTTCTAGTCTCTCCTACACATTTAGAAGCGCTTGTTGTCTGTGAACATTACAGTGGGCCTCAGACTCTCTTCTGAGAACACCAGGATACATGAATAATGAGTTGACTTCAAAAATAATGTTTTTTTTTTCTTCATTCCCCTTACATTTTAACACCCTTAGAAGTATCTAAAAAGCCGTCTTCTCACTATTTATTTACACGGGCCTTGGAGATCTGGCATCTGCCTATTTGCCCAGCTCTGCAGCTGCTGCAGGGTCTCTTCCCGCAGTCGTTGCTCCTTGTTCGGGACTTACCAGTTCCTGTGGCTTTCAGACTGTTTTTTTTTTTCTTTTTCTTTTTTCTTTCTTTTTCTCGTAATGCCAAGCCTTTGTGCAGCCTCTGACTCTCTTGGAATACCTTTCTTTTCTTGATCTGTGTCACAAACTCCTGACAGTTTCCCAAGACTTGTCTCCAATCTGAAGCCCGTCTCTCATGGTCATTTCTATTTGTTCAATATTTTTGTTCCTTTGCACATCAAATATTTGTTGAGCTCCAGCTCTGTGCCACATCCTTCTAGATACACTCCAGTGAACACTGGATTCTTACACTCCTGAAAGCAACGTTCATACTGTTAGCGGGGAAAGAAACACACAGGAAACAGGTGTTGTATGTCACCGTAGGAGCCCATTTACATGAAACTCAATACTAGGAAAAATCATCTTTGCTATATGAAGGAAGTCAGGAGAGTGGTGACCCTTGGAGTGGGGGTGTGAAGGGACTAGGAGAATGTGAAGAGATTTCTAGGGTGCAATAGTCCACTTATTGGTGAGGGTGCTGGTTACATGGTAGTACTCGGTTTGCCATAGTGGTTGCTAATGGTGTAATCTAAGTACTAAGCCTGCGAGAGTGAGTAAAATAAGAGAAGAGCTTAGAAGGCTAGCATGGATGGAGCAGACATGGGAGAAAGACACTGACACCAAGGCTTGCAAGAGTAGCAGCTAAGCCATGAGGATTGAGGAGGGCAACAGCGGAGCTGTAACACTAAGCTAGAAGTTTGCAGAGAGACAGGAAGGGGAGCAGTCCAGTCTGCAATCTTTCCTTCTCTGAGATCATTTCCCCCAGAGCATCCTGGAATGTGATGTGAGTTGTTGACTTATGACATCAACTTCCTCACCATATGTTCCAGACCCACACACCTAGCAGACAATCAAGAGCTACCCTGAGGCTCAGGACCTGTGACGCTGGCTTCCCTTTTTATCTGAGTGCTGATAGGGAATAGAATTTTTCCCTTCCTGTTTCCTTTTCCTCCCTCTGATTGCTCTCCAAAAATATTTGTTGAGTGAATGAATGAATGAAGTAGTAAATCAAAATTTTATCTTACAAATGGACAGCAGTTAAGAAAATACTTAGAGTATTCTTGGAGCTCACTTAGAGAGCTACCATTCTTAGATGGAACAAAGGATTCTTTGCTCACAGTTTTTTCTTCTTGTGTGGCTTTAAGACAGTATTGCTGATGAACTGCTTCTAATACAAAATTAATGTCTGTTTTCTTTCTCTCCCCAATCCCCCACCTTCCCAACCTTGCTTTTTCAGGGAAAAGGTTCAACGACTATAACTATTAAAAAAATTGAATGAGGGCTGGAGAGATGGCTCAGTGGTTAAGAGCACTGACTGTTCTTCCAGAGGTCCTGAGTTTAATTCCCAGCAATCACATGGTGACTCACAACCATCTGTAATGGGATCTGATGTGCTCTTCAGGTGTGTCTGAAGACAGCTACATTGTACTCAGATACACAAAATAAATAAATAATTCTTAAAAAAAAAAGATTTGAATCTGCCTTGCCTTTAATCGGTGGAGTTCCTGGTGTTTCTTGTTCTTTTTTGTCTTGGATACTTACTAACCAAAAAAATTAGAACAAAGCAAAACGAACAAATAAAACCAACAACAACCCTTTCCCCCACAAACAAAACCAAGAAGGCTATCCAGAGTGTTTCATATTAACAAAGTCTAGCTTCATATCTCTCTCTCTCTCTCTCTCTCTCTCTCTCTCTCTCTCTCTCTCTCTGTTTTGTTTTGTTTTGTTTTTTCGACACAGGGTTTCTCTCTATGTAGCCTTAGCTGTCCTGGAACTCACTCTGTAGACCAGGCTGGCCTTGAACTCAGAAATCCACTTGCCTCTGCCTCCCAAGTGCTGGGATTATCGATTTTTCTCTTTTGCTTAAAGATTTGTTTTATTTAATCTGGCTCTTCCAGCATGTCAAATTCTGAGTAAAATTCAGAAGTCTTCATTGCAAAATGGAAGAAGATTAAAATTCTGGAGGACTGTGTGTCAGGTGACTGTTTCACTGGCGTTTACATCCATGCTGGATGACTTGGTGAGTTCAGAGCAGAGGGAAGACACTCTACGCTTCTTCTACAGTAGGTTTTTCTTTGGTTTGGTAATGATGTGATTTCGGCACTTTGCCAACCAAGGAGAGCCTAATAAAGAGATTCTTTCCCCAGATTATCATAAATATGCTTGCTAAAGTCCTTTTACACATTACTGGCTGTGGAAATATCAGATATTCAAATCTGAGGCTAACTTGAACTTTTCTGTTTGTCCAGTGATTTTTATCTTCACTATTCTTGTATCTAGATTTCTAAATCTTTGCCATCTCTGTGCTTTTTGTAAATAGGTTTTAATTTACCACTCTGCTATGGTCTGAATTTTATCTCTCCCCCTCCCTGCTCCCAAATTCACTCTTTGAAATTTTTAAGGCAAAAGTAATGAGGATAAGAGACAGAGTCCCTGGGAAGCAGCTGGGACACTAAGGCAAAGCTCTCATGATGAGGTCAGTGTTGGTATGAGGGGACACCTTGTCCCTTCTACCAGGTAGGGACAGATGAGAGGTGCCATGTATGAACCACAAAGGGAGTTCTTGTCAGACACTGGATCTGTCAGCAGTTTAATCTTTGGCCCTCCACCCTTCTGGAACCATGAATAAGCCATCTTGGTGATGATATATTGTTATAGCAGCACATGTGAACTTGGGCGTCTTCCTTTGTTCTGTTTTAGGGACCTGGGTGTGACTGGGTCTTTCCTGTTGTTTGAGCTCACAGGACTCAAGCTTAGGTTCTAGACAGAGGAGGAAATGGTAATGAGATATTAAGACAAAAAGAAAAGAAAATTGTTCTACAAATATTTTTTAATTTATTTATTCTCTCAAATATTGTGTCCAACTACAGTTTCTCCTCTCCTCTCTTCCCCAGCCCCTCTCCTCCCCTCACCCTCCCTCTAGATCTGCTCCTCCTCTGTTTCCCTTCAGAAAACAGCAGGCCTTGCAGGGACATCAACCAAACCCTGCATAACAAGTTACAATCAGACCAGGCAGAAACCCTCATATTACGTACGGCTTGACACGGCAACCCAGCAGGAAGAAAAGGGTCTCAAAAGCAGGCAAAAGTCAGAGGCAGCCCCCAGTCCCAGTGGAAAACAAAATTTTTAATTGGCTCAAAACCTTAATTTTGTAAGTTAGATGCTTTAGGTGATAAAATAATTTTATTATTGACCATAAAGAGTCTATCTGCTTCTAAAACCTCTGCATAGAATATTCCAGAAAGGGGATAAATCGGGGGATAGACCTGTGCATTTGTACAGAAATTGTATCTATATTCCTTTTTACTTCATTCTTTTAAATACTTGTTTGTTTATTTGTATGTATCCATGTATGTATGTATGTATGTATAATCATGTGATCTATGTTACCAGTATGCATGTACGTGCCCATAGACACCAGAGGGTACTGGGTCCCCTGGAGTTGGAGTGACAAGAAATTGTGAACTTCCTGATATGGGTGTTGGGAAACAAACCCTGGTCCTTTCTCTGCCAGAGCAGTAAGTGCTCTTAACCACTGAGTCATGCCTCTACCCTGTTATTTATATTCTCAAGCTTTGAGGTATGTGCTAATGGTTGCTCAGACCTATGGGAAAACAAACCAGGATGTGGACCATGTTGGGTTGCCTGGCCTGAAAGCGAGAGGCTGTGCTGATGTCATTAGAACTGTCATAGACAAGAGATGCATATGCTAATTCTGATGTCATTCGAACTGTCATAGACAAGAGATGCATGTACTAATTTTGTGAGTTCAGCAATTTCATTTTAAGGAGCGCTAACTGGAAATTAATGTTTCATGTTGATGTAATAATCTTAAAAAACAAAAAGGAGAACGTTACAGAATGGAAGGCATGAGGATTTGATTCCTGTCTCTGTTCGTTTCTAGTTTTGTAGTCTTGGAGAAGCTCCTAAGTGTATGCCTACCTGTTCCTTATCTTTGAGACATCTCTGACAGAGGGCCAGTATGAAAACTGAGGCAAAATATGAAATGGAGAAACTGATAATCACGATACTTGACACACTATTTCCTGTATGTCAGAACATTTTAAATTAACACACATTAGTTCATTAAGTCCTAAAAGGGCGGGGGGGGGATTGTTGGTGTAGGAGTTAGAGGGGTCCAGGACCTAATAAGATTAATAGTGATTATTATTATTTTATTAAAAATGATTAAATGAAACTCATCACTTTGTTTAATAATTTTTAAAATACAGAAAGGACAAAAAAGACGTCGGTGAGATGGCCAGCAGGTAAAAAGGCACTTGCTGCCGAATCTAGTAACCTGAGTTTGATTCCCAGAGCCCATATGGTAGACCGATAAAACAGACTTCCACAAGTTGTCCCCTATCCTCCACATGCACACTGTGTGTGGGGCAAGGCTCTTCAATCCATATACACAAAAATAAATAAATATAAAGCATCTTAAACAGTACAAAATTATATTCCCAATTAAATACATCATGGCTTACAGAAAGAGAAAGAGAAGGAAAGGTATTTATGGAAGATAAAGAATATGGAAAAAACTATAATCCCAGTGCTTTCAAGGCTGAGGCAGGAGAATGGCGAAGTTGAGGCCAGCATGGGCTGCAGGGTGAGACTGTCTGACAAAAAATAAATGAGTAAGATAGCTGTTCACCAGATCTGCATAAGGATCTAGGGAACGAGTATCGGAGTGAACAGAGTTGTCTCAGCTCCTTGAAAATGAGAAATACTGACAGTTTCTATATTTAAAACTAGATCAAGAACTAGGGAGATAAAGTCCCTTTTCTTCTGTAGGCAAAAACTTCTCACACATACTTTATTCATTTAACAATTTGTACACATGTCTGGATTTAAACAATGTATCTTTGGCTCATTCACAATCTTGCCCCTCTTATTTGCTGTGCATCCTGTTCTCCTTACAGGCCTGCAGACTCTCACCATTTCTGTTAGTTTTACTTCTTTTATCTGTACAATGTTTGTGTGAACGCTTTGTGTTGATGAGGCCAGGAGGATGCAGGAAAAGCATGTCTAGAGTTTCTTAAGAGGCTTTTCCTGATATTCAGGAAGTTGAGACAGGGACCTCTGGGGTTCAAGGGCCACTTAGGCTATGCAATGAGACTCCGTCTCTAACAACAACAAAAGGATACAGGCATTTGGTACTTGACATCAGGCCCGCCCAACACAACAGCACCATCTTGTTATACACGTCCATAGCTGCTGGCTTGTCGCTGCCAGGAATACTATCTCTATGGATCCAGATGTGCAGTGCAGACTAGATCTCCTAGAGCCTTCCTATTCAGTTGCAAGATGTGTCCATCAGGAAATCTCAAGACAGATCAGACTTAACACATGTGGGACTCCCATTACTTCTCTCCCCAGCCAAGTGTTTTCTTCTCACAGTCTCAGATATTGACACTATAATCCAAGAGCTAACTCCTGCTGAGGCTACCTCCTTAAACTTTTATTAATTCCAAGGGCATTATCTTGGTTCAAACTGCTATAATTTCTTCCTTCATTTCTGTAGTCTCTTATCTTATCTGCTAGGACTTGCCTCTTCCTGTCTATGTCACATCTGATACAAAGCCGGGTCAGCCACTAACCCCTATTAGTTTTCTGCTATCCATAAGATACAGGCTGCACAAATATCTATACCACAAGGCCAGCGCTGCTTACTCTTTCCTTTGGCAGCTCACTGTATGCCAAGGTCTTAACATGTTTGCCTCATTTAGATTACACATCATCGTTCTGAAGAATTGTTATTTTTGTTCTATATGAAAGGATAGCTTCCTTCATAAGAATATCGACTACTTAGCACTCGGAACATTTTATTCTCATAACAACTCTATAAATACAGATGATTATTATCTCCATTTTACAAATGAAGAGACTTAAAGCACATTTGTTTGCTGGGATACAGTAATTGAGTACAGAGTGAGATTTGGACCCGGATCTGAACCTATAGGTCTTGTCGCTTCTCCTCCATTTCCACATCTCTATACCTGCTGCTCTCTCTGAGTGGACTCTAGGAAAATCCTGCTTGTACAGAGCCTGACTTGTTTGTGGTGGGTTTCTTTTTCTTTTTCCCCCATCCTTTGAGACAGGGTCTCGTAGCACAGGTGGGCCTCAGATATATAATCCTCTTGCCTCATCCTTCCTTGTTCTAATGTGTTGGGGCTATCGACAGAAGGAAAGAGAATGAGGAAAAGGCCTTGGGGCTTCCAGGGGGACTGTCAGGAGTGCATCGGTATTGGTGTGCCAGAGTTTAGCCTTTGCAGATAGCATTCTCTTATTGCATATAGTTTTTAAAACACGCTCTGCCTTTACCTGGATTCTGCCTTTACCTGAGC